CCTGATATCTATCGAGGATTGATTGAGACACACATGTATCGATTGAGTGTCAATTTATATATTGATCAAGGGTCAATCAAGGATATTGACCGACACTCTAACGCAGATGTGTTTAGTACACATTGTCCAAAATTGCTATATATTTTTTTTTCTTAGTTATGGACTTAGACCTCATCTAGCACTGAGTTAAGCAATTCAACTTGGCTTTTACTCTCCTAATGTTTTGTCAGTACATGTAAATTTATAAATATGTTTGAGTTAATTTTTGATTTCAACTACATGTGGTTCCTTTTCTTCGAGTTTCAATGTTACTTTTTTAAATTTATCCCTATGACTAGGGATAAATTGACAACAAAAACAACACCTTTTTTGCTGTTACCAGTTTTTTTATTCAGCAAAGCAAACAGTACATGCTTCTGTACTGATTTTGCAAACAAAGTGACCAACTAATATATGTGGGGTAAATTATGTGCCACAGGTAAATCATGTGAAGTATCATTCAATTTGACTTGGGTCAGCTCTTCCTTTCCACTCGGTGAATCCTCCCTGTGAATATGGAAAGATATCAAACAAAATGAAACCCTAGTCAAAGATTGCTCCAGTCATACATCCCTGTGTATTCATTGACCAGTCCTTAATAACCCCATCTGAAGATAGTTCTTTTCCTAATAAGTTTTCTCAATCGCTTGCTTGAATGGGATTGTAAATCCTGACTCTCGAGTATCAGAAATTCACTTGACCTAAAAATCTCCAAAGATTTCTAAAGAAATATTCAGAAGACTTTTATAAGAATCTATACCAATAAAACACAATTTGGTTTGTTAAGTTCAATTTTGTCTGTGTGGCCCACTAAAAAGAAATAGCTTTGCTATGGCAATGAACCTTTTTAGCTTGGGCGGTTTGTTTTCCCATTGCAGACCATGTGATATTCTCTAGTGGATTGTTCTTTTATTAATCTAAAAATTATTTATTCATACACATGTAACTATTTGAAAATTTGACAGCAAGAATTCTCAAGAGTATCACATGGTTTAAAATGGGGCAACAAACCACCCAAGCTAAAAAGGTCCATTAGGGACACAATATACAAATATTCGAAAATTAATTGGATTGCATGCACATCCTACAGGAGAATGGTTCAACAATCCTGCAAAATATTTGCCACCCCTTAGAGGCAAAGATTTTACTTCGTGTATACAGCCTTATTGTGTTAACAAGTATGATTCGCACACATGCTGATATTTAACTTGTTTATCTTACATAATATAGTGCCGCATCAGGACAGCCGCAAATATGAGCTGTGAGCACCAGAGTGCAAGATGATAGTCCACCAATACACATGCCGATTACTGGTTTAGTGAGATCAATTCCAGCATCAGCATAAACTGTGAGACATAAGCAAAAGAAATAAAATTAAAACTATTAAATAACAGAATTGAAATTACACTCATTGTAAAACCAATTATTTTTTGACACTTGAGTGAAACCACTCTATCAACAATAAATTGTAACCTTCCAATTCCTTTTCTGACACAAGATACACATAGAATTATATAACAGTTAAGGAAAGGTTTCTGAAAAATCTGAGCATGGGAAGATTTTTGGCTTGAAGATCTATAAGACAGAACACAGTCAACCTTTCTTCAGCTCGTCAATGGTCTTGAGAGTTTTGGTGTCTGGGTTAAACAGGCTTGGAAATGGAATGTTCACTGCACCAGGGTAGTGACCAGTCTTAGGATCTGAAACAAAACAAGATCCTGTCACCATACAATGTTAAGCAGAGCTATGACCATTCAAACAATCTTTTTAAAGCTCTAACATGACTTGAAGTGGTCATAAAGAAATCATGGTACTTGTTTTTCTGAATTAAGCATGGGATCCCTTGAATAAATACCAATTCTCCAAGATACAGTCACAAATGTACCCATCAAACATTTATTTATGGCTTAATAATCTGCAGATTTGAAGGCAATATAAATGGCTGTCAAAAAATGGCGACTAAACACCCTAGCTGAAGACACAGCATTTGAATAATCCAGCAGGTTGACAGGTCAGATGATAAGGGCAGTATTCCCCTTTAAAAATGTACAGATCAGAGTGCAAAGAACACCAGTTTTCTGTCTTGTCCATAGGGCAAGTGATGTACTAGCCTAAAAGAGTCCCTCTCACAAGCCCCAAGAAATTTTATCTTTTTTCAATGCTTTTTGTCATTTCAATTACCTTAAAAATTTTGGCCAAAAACCTTACTTTCTTAGGGAAAGTTAAGGATGGAATCCACCACCCAAACTGTGCCCCAACTATCAGACACAACTTTCTTCGCATGCTACAGATTAATCATGACAATTTTATCTGAAATCAAGAAGACCTGCATTTCTTGCTCTTCCTTTCACTTGCTGGTCCCATAATAATTATGCAGTTTTCTATCACAGCACCACAATTTACAAGTATAACTGCAGAAAATATCTATAATCTATTATTGTCACTTACATTGGCAGTGTGGTTGTACAAAACATGACACGGACACTAATATTTCTTTATAACGAAAATCTACATAGTATGATACAAAATTATACCATTAGGTGAGTGATTGAACAGGTCAGGGCCACGACTGTCACAAACTTGTGCTTTATGTGACTTGAGGTTTTCTTGCATGTCCTCAAACTTTTTGATCCATTTTGGTGTGTACTTTGCTTTAAAATCACCTTCCTGAAATTTAAAAATATTTTTAAATTAGGGTTAGTTAAATCACCTACACAGACTGAGAAAGGAAAACCTCCTGGTATTATAAGAAGTACTGCACGAAAGGTATTGTTAAGAGCAGACTTACGTAATGGTTCCTCATGAAACACATAAAAGTACTGTTCAGTAGCTTTCATTTGAATGGTCACACACTAGAGCTTTATCTGCAGACTTAAAAGTTAGAACCACCTTGTACAGCATAGTAAACAGTACCACATGAATGCACTGCTCAATAGCTTTCACTTGAATGGTCACACACTAGGGTTTCATCCACAGACTTAAAAGTTAGAACCACCTTATACAGCATAATAAACAGTACCACATGAAAGTACTGCTCAATAGCTTTCACTTGAATGGTCACACACTAGGGTTTCATCCACAGACTTAAAAGTTAGAACCACCTTATACAGCATAATAAACAGCACCACATGAAAGTACTGCTCAATAGCTTTCATTTGAATGGTCACACATTAGGGTTACATGCAGAGGCTTAATATTACATGTAATTAAGGTTTAACAACAAGAGTTAGAGTTTTAAACAGGTCTGATATCATCTCCTTGCAAGTGTAAAACATCAAAAAGTTAATTAACATTTAATTAATTATTTTTTATTTAATTAATAAGTGTTCAATGCATTGAAAAGAAGAAAAACCCTCATAGAACTTAAGAATCATGAATTATTTTAATTATTGGTAAATACCTTTTTCTTGACCATCATATCTGTTGTTTCATAACCATCGGCAATCCACCTTTCCAGTCCTCCATCCACTATGGAAACATTTTCATGACCAAACAGCTAGAAATTAAAATTAATTTAAAATAACAGTCAAGAAATCACAGCCTTTTTACCCTTGTGATAAAAGTATACTTGAAAATCTTAAATTCAGCCTACGAAAAATTGCCAAGTACCAAACCTAACAAAAGATGTTAGTCTTACATGAAACAGCCCCTCAGGAAATAATTTAACGTTAAATTTCCGAAGAATCGAAACGTAATGAACCTGCATTTTTTCCTCTGTCTCCCATTCCCTCCCATCCCCTTCCCTCCCGTCCCGTCCCCTCTCTCACTTCTGCCCGGGTTGTGCTTCATTGGGTTACGAAACCCAAGCAAACGTGAAGTCAAGCAGAGACGTGCCCTGTAAAATAGGGTATCGATTTTGGCCTCTTTCGTCTCAAATACGGTATGGTTTTAGCCTTGAACTGGGTATGTTTTTCAGAAGAAGCCACTTTTTATTCATCGTCAAGACCATCAACAAAAGCCCTTCACAAAGATTTTAACATCGGTCTGAACTAGAGAACTAATCATAAGGCAGGTCTGAAACAGTGTATTGATTTAGGAGTTTACGTTATGTCTTAAATAGGATGTTGAGTTTTTGATTACGTCATAAAAGGGTAGGGGAAATCGCAAATTTTGTTCTTAAATAGGGTAATGGTTTTGGGAAGCGGACCTCGCATCCGCAAAAATGTTTCTGGGATGTTAGGGGGCATTTCACTTATTCATGCTGACCTTGAACATCCACCAAGCTCTTCCTCCCATGAAGTATCCAAACATTCCTGTGTTTTCATAAATGACAACATGGTCGCTGTTATTCACTGCACTGCCCTTGGCGTTGACTTCAAAAGTTGGAACATCTGGAATATTACGAGGGTACAAAGGAGTGAACTGTACCCCTTTGAACATGTCCATGTATGTGGCATGGCTGATGTGTTGCCTGCAATATTAAATAACATCATTCAAGCCCTAAACTCTGCACATGAGTAAAAACATCAAACGAGTCAACCAGCTCCAAAATATTTTAGCATTGTATCGATAGTTTATAAAGTACTACGTGTTAAGAACACAAGTATAAATCTAAATTTAGGTCGGACTTTTTTCATGATACCTTGTCTTGGATCTCTGTAAATTTTGTGTTAATAAAGCAAATCAAAAAATTACCTTACCTTATTGACCTTGGATAGGTTTTTACACATGATTTTCAAACTTTCACAATCGTGGTAATTAATGCTCGGTGTCCAAAACATGAACTATTATGCTCGAAAGGCGTCGCTATTACTGCTATAATTATGCTCTTATTGCGAATGCCAAGACTCGACAGGCTTTTCATCGCAAACTTCACAGTCAAGTTTATTTAAGATCACAAGGTTCTTCCTCTCCCTCGCTCTGACTGTTTACTAAAATGACCCAACGCAAGGCTCTTCGTGTAGCTTTTCTAAACATTTGCTTTCATCGCGGAATATTACATGACAAATGATTTACTGATAAGATGAATCACGTTTACAATCTGGTGCTAATTATCTGATAATCATCGACTGAACTAACTGAGACGTACTTCTGATTTCTATTATTTCTGGCCTAGATTCCCTGGATCACGCAACTTAAAAATACTGAGGATATTCTGTCACACAGTATGACTGGAACTTTCACGACACTCCGCTATGCTCATTTGAAAAAAGCGAATGAAATAATGAAAAGCAAAAGTAATGGAAAAAAACTCGCTCTGATGTACCAGAAGAGTGTTGAATTAGGAAAACCTGTTGGCAGGAGACGTGTATATGTGTGGTCAAGCGACTGCGGCGAGATTTCTCAGCCTGCCTAAGGGCCACTATCCGTCAGCCAGTCATGATGCTTGATTCTTCTGCTATGCTCAAAATACACCCTTTGCTGTTCATTTACAGAAAATAAACATTCATTTGTGTCCAAATTTCTTTCTTTATGGTCAATAAACTCTCATTAACACCAATATGACCTTCATTTGCGCGTAAGGAACGTTCAAGAATAACATTTACATATGCATTAACATTCAAAATCATCAAAAGAAAAACAATACCTTCGTTTGACATTCATTGACTGTAAATGTATTTTCATTTTGGTCGAAAAAAAATTCAGTTAAATGACCTTGCTCTCCATGAGTTCTCGTAGCTCAGTGGATAGAGCGCCCGCCCGGTGTTCGGGAGGTCACGGGTCCCACGCTCATGTCATGTTGATTAATTCACCTTCACAAAAAATTCGTTGTCGCGAAACGACAATCATTTACACTTTAGGACATTCAGTTTTCAACAAAAGACTTTCAATAACACAATTTGCATGAGAACTAACAT